TTTTATTTTTTTTTCACCTAAAAAATTATATTCCGCACTTTTTTATAAAATATAAAAACTTAATTTTACGTTTATTTTCTCTTAAATTAAAACATAAATTTCTCACAAAGTCCTTAAAGATGTTATATAAAAATTGCTATTTTATAAAATCCCATTCAAACAAGACAAATGTACATTCATTACATTATATATCCTTCATTTTCATACAGTTAAAATTTAAAACAATGACTTTCGTCACTAAATTGACACGCTTAACCTTTTGTTACAAACATTTAAAATACTTTTCGTCACAATTCCATTTTATAATACAAAACTTAAAAGTTTTCAGACCTCAAATTCTATAAAACTTTCTCCATTTAATTTTATATAATTGCAACTAAGTTTTTAAACCTTAAACATATAAAAATTTATCAATAAACTATATACTCTCAACTGATTTTTATTCATATATAATAAAATAATAAAATTTTTAATAGGATTACGATTACTAATACCATTATTTTGACTGGAAAATATTTAGCTAACAATCATTCTTACAATTCCAAATTTCAAATAAAATTCATTAAAAATTATACCAATCAAAAAAAATCTTAAGATTTTTCAAAGAAAAATATTGTAACTTAAAACACTTATTTCAACCTCCTCTAAGGAGCAGAAATTTTCAAAAAATTATTAATCAGTTGTACGTGCATTAGCAAAAAATAATAAACTTTAGTTTTCAATTTATGGCCGTTATTCCATATTTTCTTCATAACTTTAAAAGCGTGTATCTCCCAAAATGTGATCATTCTACTGAGATCACTCTTATGCAAACCATATTCTTTTTAACTATACCCACAGAACACAGGATATTCTAAGTATATTTAAAATATATATGAAATATTCTTTTTATAAAATATTCAAATATAATATTCCAAATACATCCCATGCATATTATTCGGGAATTAAGCCAGACACAAATTTTCTTTTTGAATATCCATTTTACAAAATATCCTAGGAATATTCTACGTAAGTAGGTCGATTATTATAAAAAAAATTCAAGATGAACGTAATTAAGTATAAAAAGTTACATCTTTAACATGTATGGAAATTTCATTATTAAAAAATCAACATTTATTGAGCCCAACATTTCATTTTTAGTTGGTAATACGACTTTATGTTAGAAAAATGCATATTTAACATTACAAGAATTTGTTGATTACTTCAGCT